CGAGTCTTGATGTGATGTGCAGTAGGTACTGAGCGCACGTTTCTCATGATTTCCCTGAATTTTTCTACAAAAATTTGAGGTTCTGGACCTACTTCTTCGTCGATAAAATATTCTCCAGGAAGTCGAAGTGTTGTGCCATACAACATCTCAGCTGCAGTTGCTTTAATATCTTCTTTAACACTAGTACGTAGTCCTAAGAGAACAACTGGAAGAGTGCTAACCCAATCACTTGTAGCATGACACATTAAAGCAGATTTTAAAGATCGATGCCATCGTTCAATCATACCGTTTGAAGCAGGGTGATATGCAGTTGTTCGAGTGCGACTACATCCGATCAATTTTGTGAGAGCGTCAAAGAGTCTTGATTCGAATTGAGCGCCTCTATCACTCGTTATTGTTTCTGGTGCTCCAAAACGACTAACCCATCCAGAAAAGAAAGCATTTACTACGGTATCTGCTGTGACGTCTTTTAAAGGAATAGCTTCTGGCCAACGTGTAAATCTATCAATCATGGTAAGGCAGTATGAATAACCTTGACATAGTGGCATAGTGACTATATCGATGTGGACGTGTCTGAAACGTTCACTAGGAACTTCAATATGTTGTGGAATGTTTTTAACATGACGATGAATTTTGCTTCTTTGACACGGCATGCAGGTACGAGCCCATTCGATGATGTCACGGTTCATATAAGGCCAAACAAAATGCTGACTGATAAGCTTTTTTGTCGTTTTTCCACTTGGATGAGATAGGTTATGTGTGTTGTTAAAAATTTGTCTTCGTAGAACAGCTGGTATATATGGACGTATTTTGTCACCTGAAATATCACAATAAATCACTTTTCCAGATTTGTCAACTTGAAGTTGTCGTAGTTTCAGTGAAGTTGTTTTTGAATCTAATAGATGTTTGAGTTCGTCGTCTCCTTCTTGCTCAGATGCGATATCTTCTGTAGAAACTATTGTCGGCATATCGATAGAATTGATTCTCGATAACGCGTCAGCAACTACATTCTCTTTACCTGGAACGTGAACGATCTTTGTTGTAAACTGACTAATATACTGTAGTTGTCGTTGTTGCCTAGGTGAAGCTTTGTCAGAATCTTGATTGAAAGCGAACGTTAGTGGTTTATGGTCAGTAACCACTGTAAAATCATGACCTTCGATCAGATGTTTGAAGAATTTGATACCTTTAAAGACTGCAAGAAGCTCACGATCATATGTGCTATAGTTGCGTTCAGTCTTTGTAAGTTTGCTTGTGTAAAAACCTAGAGGTTGTCTTACTCCATTGATAATTTGATCTAGAGCTGCGCCTACTGATTTGTCAGATGCGTCACAACGAAGTGTTAAACTTGCGTTATCAACTGGGTAAGCTAGCTGCACTGCATTTGCTAGGAGTTTTTTACATTCTTCAAAAGCATTTTCTGCCTCAGCATTCCATGAAACAGGTCGTTTGTCATTTTTCTTAGCACCAACTGTAAGGTCAATTAAAGGTGCGTGGACTTCTGAAGCTTTAGGCATGTTTAGACGATAAAAATTCCAGGAACCTAAAAATCTTCGAAGACTAGCGATGGTCTCAGGCTTGGGATACTTCAGGATTGCTTCGATTCGATTAGCAGGAGGTTTTATTCCATCCTTTGAGATAGCATAACCTAGATAAATAACTTCAGGCTGTGCAAAAACACACTTGTGGAGGTTAATCGATAGACCATGCTGCTGTAATTTGTCGAGAATTATTCGAATGTGTTTTAAATGTTCTTCTCGTGACTTTGAAGCGATGAGAATGTCATCAATATAGATATGACAAAAATCTAATCCACGAAGAATTGTATCCATAAGGCGTTGGAAAGTTTGAGCAGCGTTACGCAATCCAAATGTCATCACCTTGAACTCAAAAAGACCAAATGGTGTAATGACAGCGGTTTTAGGTCGATCTTCTGGTGCGACAGGTATTTGATAATACGCCCTATCCAGATCCAGAGTAGTAAAAATTTCACAATCTTGAAGTTGATGTGTAAAATCGCGTAGGTGAGGTATTGGATAACGATCAGGAACAGTGATTTGATTTAGTCGTCGATAATCACCGCAGGCGCGCCAAGAACCAGTCTTCTTTTCAACAAGATGTAATGGACTTGACCAATCACCGTTTGATGGATAACACCAGCCTTGCTGCATCATGTATTCATACTCAGCTTTAGCTGCTTTGAGTTTTTCGCCAGCTAGACGACGAGCACGTTCATTAACTGGAGGACCACGAGTCGTAATGTAATGTTGAACTCCATGAAGTGGTGGTTTACAACCAGCTGGTTTTGTGACGTCAGGATAATCTTTTAAAACTTCGTAGAACGGATGCTCCTTGATGACAGAACAGATTGTTGGTTGTGTTGAACTACTAATTTTTGCAGGTAGAAAAAGTTTTGTCTGCGCGTCAATTAGTCGTTGATTTTTAAGATCAACCAGAAGGCCGTGATGTTTTATAAAGTCAGCACCTAGTATAGGGTGAGTAACATCAGCGATTGTAAATGGCCATAAGTAAGATCGTCGTAATCCAAGATCTAGTGTCATTGTTTTAGTACCAAAGGTGTTAATGGTAGAACCATTGGCTGCGAAGAGTTTGATTTTAGGTACTGGTGCAAAAATCTTACTTTTAATAATTACTTTACTCTTTGGCATGACTGAAATGTCAGAACCTGTATCGACTAGAAATCTAAGACCAGATTGTTTTTCTTGCACTTGTAGACGGGATGTTCGATTACCTTCAGAGATACCCGCTACCATCCCCGAAGGCTCTGTTAGTTTAAAGGCTGAGAATTACTCTTGAAGTTGCAGGGTTGACGGCATTTACGTGCCTTTTCTCCGAATCTACTGTGATAAAAACAAAATCCATCATTGTTGTTGTTACTTTGTTGTGAATTTCGTGATCTACTTCGGGATCTGGCTCGATCACGTCTTACGTAGCGGTTTAACTCATCAAAATTCTTGGTTAAAATTGCAATTTGTGTTGACAGATCTTCAGTATTCATTGGAGATGTTTTTGACTTTGAGGATGTTGATGCACATGCATTTCCGTTGTTATCTATCGCCAAGATGCTAGGTCGAGAAACTTCCATGATTTTATCAGCTTGGAGAGCGAGTTTTGATAGATCAACGACCTCACTGATAGCTAAGATGCCTCGTACATGCTCAGGAAGTTGTTCCAGGAAGAGTGTTCGAAGGATGTTATCACCAACTTCAGTTCCAGCTAGATTTCTCATCCGTTGCAGCATGTTTGATGGTTTGTCATCAGCAAATTCAGCTCCTCGCAAAATACGACGTAATTTAGACTCATTAGTTTCGTCGAACTGACTAATAAGACGTTCTTTTATGACTTCGTATTTACCTTGATCTGGAAGTCGTTCCATGATGTCGGAGATAAATGGTAGAGTCTCAGGATCGAGGTTGGTGATGACGTATTGGTATTTAGTCATATCCGAGGTGATACGCGCAAGACCAAACGCGGCTTCAACTTGTCCGAACCATAGCTTTGGACTTGATTTCCAAAATGGCGCAATTTTTGGTTTTCGAGTTTGAAAAATTTCAAGAGCTTGTTCTTGATTAAAAACAATGTTTCCTGCTTGCTCAGTCATGTTTGCTTCTCGGTTAGGTAAGACTGGAGAATTTGGGCTGTCCACTTGTACGTTTTGACGTTGTTGCTGTCGCACCGGTGAATGATCTATCACCATGTCAATCGAATAATCAGAATGTTCGGGTCACCAGTTATGTGGGGATGCCGTAAGGAAAAAGGGCGAACCACATAAGATTTATTTATAAACAAATAGTTATTTATTAATAATTATAGCAAACAAAGATAATTTTTAGTTAGAAAACGTTACAATAGAAAGCGCAGTAAAAAGTCACTGAAACGCCATGTTACGTTACTGGCGGGATGAATATGTGATGGCCGGCTTGGAACTTGGCCGCCTGGCCGCAAGATGGGTTCCTTGAACCGGTCGGTGGAGCCGCCATGCGGCAAGTGGGCAAAGCCTCACGAGCTGCCGCAGCAGCATAGTAAATGTTGCCATCTTTTGCTTCGCTTTGGTAATAAGTTGAATTACTTTCTTTTTTACCGACATAAGATATCGTACCAGCCATCGTTTTTCGTGGTGGAATGTAATTTAATACAATATAAAAACTTATGGTAGTTATGTCAAAGAATACAGACCCATAGAAGCCCAGGGCAATAGGATTTAATGTCGCAGTAGAACGCTCAGTACTAACTGCGACCACAGATGTCGCAGCAGTCCAAATGAGTAGGCTGGAGATGGAGTGGCCAGCAGTCGTTGACCAAACGTCAATCGAACCAGTATTGAGTCAGTATGTAGATGAATGTTTGAATTTTTAGGTGATTTAGATAGCAGTAAACAATGATAACATGGATGAAAAAATTCATTAAAGAAACAACTAGGTAAACCACTAATCAGAGCCAGGTTATATTTCCGAAATTCTCGACTATTTCCAATTAGGATATCGCATTTTAAATAATGCAAATTTCGAATAAATGACAATGGAACATGATTTTTTCATCTTTTATAATTGAGAATTTTTTTAATTATCAACATTGAAGAATAAAAAATGGCAAAATTATGAATATCAGTCTGATGTAGAATTCTGTATAATTAAAATATCGAAAAGTCGGAAATCAAGCTCGCAGGCAATTATGAGAGCGTCCATTTTAGGGGAAAAAGTGCTTAAAACATAACTTTTCCATCTTTGAAAATTAATTACTTTGTCAATTATTAAGATTAAGAAATCAAAATTAGCAGAATTATACAAAATAGTCTAATGTATAATTCTGTATAATTAAAATAATGAAAAGCCGCGAATCAAGCTCGCGGCATTAATTATAATCGCAGCATAAAGGACATAAAAAACAATATTTTTTGCAAGAGGACAATAAATTTTAGAATAGAATATTAAGTGAACGACGAGAAATGGCGAATTTCCCGCGATTACAGTCTATTCAAATTGATTTTAGAGATAGCGTACTGGCTGAAAAAATAGTAAAAAACATCTTAAAGGATTTACAAGAATCGGTTGACACCAGAAATGTAGGAACTATGTCAGCTATCAATCAATTCCGTCCGATTTTCGTAAACGTGCATCGGCAGAATTTTTATTGGAACGTCTAATTCTTCATTTAATACGCATACCATGAGACTAAATGGTTTTCGAGTACATTTTGATGAACACTTGATGGCAACAGGAATTCCATGTACTTGCTGTTGCGGTGGCAGTATGATTGCAACACTCCCATTCGGGGCATACCTATAAGGGTAATCCGAAGAAAGATCTTCATGTATGACTAATGGGAGTGCTTTATGACATAATTGTGTTAATCGATCAGATTTAGTATGCTTTTCACAGCGTTCAATGAGTTGACTATGTAATAAAGAATTGATCAAACTGAAGATTATAAGTCGAGGTCCTATAAGTGTACGGGGCAATTCAATTGTGACGTAAAATGGATGCTTCTTTATGCAGTGGATATTATAAGCATCATCGATCTAACATGAATAAATTAGTGATATTAATATTGTCCTAAAAATTTTTATTAAAAAAATATTCGAAAAAAAAGTTACCATCACGTTCTCCTCATTATCCATAGGTGCTGTACCGACCTTCCATTCAAAACGGTAGTATTCAATTTCCATCTTGAAAAGAAAATTTCAAAATTAATAAATCTTATTTTTAGTTTGTTTCAACGATAAATAGTGAATGTTCTGCTGACAGGTTCCATTTTTATTGAAATGACCGATTAACCTAAAGTTACTAAACTACCTGTAGTATAGTCTCTACCGCAAGATAGACCACTGTACTCGTGACTTCTCAACTTTTTGAGATGGATAATAAAAAGAATAGGCTCCCCGCTTATTCATAAAAAATTATAAGAATTTAGAAAAAAGTCTCACTCTTAAAACTCTACCAGGAGTTGATAATATTTTGTTAATTAGACTTCGTCTACAAGAAAAATGTATACAATCTAGTAAGTAAGGTTAGGTGGTACATCGAATAGTGTGAAATTTATGTTATGGCACTACTCTTAGATGTTTTATTACCGATTATGAATATATAACATTATTACCTGGAGATCACTAAAATTTATTGTCCTCTTGCAAAAAATATTGTTTTTTATGTCCTTTATGCTGCGATTATAATTAATGCCGCGAGCTTGATTCGCGGCTTTTCATTATTTTAATTATACAGAATTATACATTAGACTATTTTGTATAATTCTGCTAATTTTGATTTCTTAATCTTAATAATTGACAAAGTAATTAATTTTCAAAGATGGAAAAGTTATGTTTTAAGCACTTTTTCCCCTAAAATGGACGCTCTCATAATTGCCTGCGAGCTTGATTTCCGACTTTTCGATATTTTAATTATACAGAATTCTACATCAGACTGATATTCATAATTTTGCCATTTTTTATTCTTCAATGTTGATAATTAAAAAAATTCTCAATTATAAAAGATGAAAAAATCATGTTCCATTGTCATTTATTCGAAATTTGCATTATTTAAAATGCGATATCCTAATTGGAAATAGTCGAGAATTTCGGAAATATAACCTGGCTCTGATTAGTGGTTTACCTAGTTGTTTCTTTAATGAATTTTTTCATCCATGTTATCATTGTTTACTGCTATCTAAATCACCTAAAAATTCAAACATTCATCTACATACTGACTCAATACTGGTTCGATTGACGTTTGGTCAACGACTGCTGGCCACTCCATCTCCAGCCTACTCATTTGGACTGCTGCGACATCTGTGGTCGCAGTTAGTACTGAGCGTTCTACTGCGACATTAAGGCTGGGCTGAAGTCAGAAAGGCGACTGATTCCCCCTATCCAAATACATGGGATCGGGATATTTCTAATTTCTTCGCCAATTTACTATTATTTCTATAAAATTAGGTACCAAATTACAGAGGAAGCAATGCCAGACTGACGTAAACAACAATTTTTTGTATATAGTGAATATTTTTATTAAAAAAATTAGAAAGAATAATGAAAAAATTATGAATTGACTTGCCGCGCTTAAATTTCAAGATGGCGGCCACATCATTCAGATGAAAAATCACTAATTATTTCATTTTTATACGTTTTTCGCCCAAAATTCGTGTTTGCGTCAGTCCTTGCCACCTGTCTGAATGTTAAAAAAATCAATTCATAGTATAAAATTGAATAATTTAGAAATAATTAGAAATCTTGTATTCCAGATGATATTCTCCGGAAAATTAGTTTGAAAAAACTCTGATAAGTGACAGCATTATGCTCGCAGATGACCTCAGTCATCCATATTGAAAAAATGCTCAATCCGTATCCAGAACTGATGGTGCCCTGCATTTTGGCGAGTAAATTCTGTATGTGTGTACGGGTAATATATGTATGCGATGTAAACATAGTGTATCACTTTACAATGCCCTACACTTTGATGACTATTGCAGTTAGGATAAATAAAAATGATGATACTCATTCAACATTAATTAATATAATACCTGCAAATAACTTCAAATACATATATTCATCCATTATTATCATTTTTATTAGGTATAAATGTTAATAAGGAAGCTCAATTCCAAGTCGGCGTATCCAAGCATGTAGTGTAAAAAGAAATATACATTAACTCAATGTCGAGATTATGCTGGCCATGTGGTTAGGGCGTCAGAGTTCTATTTTGCCGGGCAGGGTTCGATCCCAGTCATAACCAATTTTTTTTTTCTCTTTATTCATTGAATTTATTGACGCTAAGTCGAAAAATATTTGAACAGAGCCATAAACTTTCTTTTTGTATAAATACATTGATAATAGCCTGTGTTTAACAACTTATACATCTTTACATGTATTAACAATGTTATGTTATTAACAAGTTAATCATATTATTATCAACATTGAAAAGTAGTTTAAACAATCCGTGGCGAGTTCCGGCACTTCGCTGGCAAGCTCTACCCCCACTCTCTATGCCCAAGCCTGCAGCTTATAATTTTTGAGCATATATAAATGTTTTGTAATCATAATAGCTCGGTGGTTAGCGCATCGGTCTTTCATTTTGATGGGCAGGGTTCGATTCCAGTCATGGTAAAGTTTTTTTTTTCTTTTTTATTTGTTAGATTTGCATGTAATTATAATATTAACATGCTAAAATGAATTCGTACTAACGATTTGATTTTTTTTTTCTCAATTATTTATGTAATTTATCGACGCCGAGTCAGAAAACATATGAACAGGGTTACAAACACTTTTTTTACTATAGCTATATGAACGTAGCTTTTTTTTAAGCAATTTAGAAATATTCAGAAGTATGTAGTTGGAACAGTCCGCGGGGAGTTCCGGCACTTCGCTGGCAAGCTCTATCCCTACCCTTCATACTCAAGCCTGCATTATACAACTTATAAACATAAACATAATATCAGAGATGATATGTTAGCTCTGTGAGTAGAACACCAAGCTTTCATTTTACCGATTAGGGTTCGATCCCAGTTATAGCCAATTTTTTTTTTCATCAAAATTTTATATAAATACAATAATTGGTTGTTTATATTAGTTCAAAATTAATTCCTATAGTCTTTTGGAGACAACATTTTCTAAAAAAGAGAATTCATAGTAACTCGTTCCTCACCCTCAGCTTATTTTCAGAAAAACAAGTTTTTTTTCGTAATTAATTGGAAGAATAATTTAATCAAATATATGAATTGATTTATAAGTATATAAAGTCACTTGAACAAGAAACAGAAAAAAAAATTGCCTATGACTGGGATCGAACCCTGCCCAGCAAAATAAAAGATTGGTGCTCTAATCACTGAGCTATTATGGTTTCAATAATAGTGAAGATGCTTGAAAATTATAAGCTGCAGGCTTGGGCACAGAGAGTGGGGGTAGAGCTTGCCGGTGAAGTGTCGGAACTTGCCGCGGATTGTTTAAACTATTTTTTATTGTTAATAAGTTGTTAAAAAAGGCTATTATCAATGTATTTGTACAAAAAAAGGTTAATGACCCTGTTCAAATATTGTCTCATTTGTCATCGATTGATTGAAAAATAATTTTACATAAAAATTGAAATTTAAAACTCATTTTCGCCATGATGAAATTGCAATTACATGCAATTTGAATTAAAAAACAAAAATTTTCCGCAATTGGAATCGAACACCGTTCGGTAAAATAAATGTCGAATCTTCTGACTACAGAGCCAACATATGTTCATTTGCTTTGTTTACGTTTAGATATCATAAGCTTCAGGCTTGGCAACAGAGGGTGGGGGATGTGCTTGCTCGTCAACTGTTCGAACTCGCAGTCTTCTCTGAAAAATAAGACGGAGATAAATAGATATATTCTGTGCTCTGTCTTGCTCGAAACAGATTATTCTGAAATTTGTAAATTTCTTGGTGCCCTAAGGCTCCCTTTTTGTAGTGCATCCCTGAAAATTATCATTTTTCGAACGATTTCCCTGTTACCTACTCAATTTCAGTTGATGTCAAGCTTCGGCCTTTTGCCGGACAACACGAGGGCGTAAAGTCAACTCCGGGAAACTTTCTGACTTCAGCCCAGCCTTAAATCCTATTGCCCTGGGCTTCTATGGGTCTGTATTCTTTGGTTATGTATTGCGGTACAAATGTATAGTAATAAAAATGTTCAGGGTAGTATAATTTTGGTACATACACCCATCTGGCCAAGAGATATATGGCATAAAAATATGCCTGCCATTTGCGAATATAAGTTCCCATATTAAATCGTTTTTATTTATTTTTTCACATAACATATATCCAGCTTTGCTATAATTACGATAAAATTTTGAGTATTTGTTAAGCAATTTATTTCATAGAATTATAGTAATAAAAAAAAACACTTAAAATCGTTATCATGAGTTTATTAGGTGCATAATTTGCCGTTTATTTGCATTACTTGAATATTTTTAGAATTTGTGACTTATCTTATGTTTTTTCTTCAGAGCAAGATGAAAAACAACCGGATTTAATTCTAAGATTGAGGGTTGATCGACCGCTTTATAATCAAGATACATTAAATCAAGAATTCTATTATGAAAAACCAAAATTTTCATGTAAGTATTAAGTTTTGAGTTAAAATAAAATTATTAAGATTATCAAAATAACTTAACATTTGAAGGTGATGCATAAATAAAGATGGTACAAAAGTTTTTATTTTTTCAAGTTATTTTTATTAGACTGTTTTGGAATATCTGTACAGAGTAATAAAAAATTTTAATATTAATATAATAACATTTATTCTTTAAATATTTTTCAATATATGTTAAACAATTGTAAAATTATGAGTACACGTCAAAAATTTTCAGTGATTAAGAGAGTGTCAAACTCATTAGCAAATAAAAGTTGTCAATCATGTATAACTTCCATGTTACCAGTCATAAAATGGTTGAAGAAGTACAAATGGAAGGAACATATAATATCAGACATCATATCAGGAATTACGGTGGCAATAATGCATATCCCTCAGGGAATGGCTTATGCTTTATTAGGAAATGTTCCACCAGTCATTGGCATTTACATGGCATTTTTTCCAGTATTAATCTATTTTTTACTTGGAACTTCTAAACATGTTTCTATGGGTTAGTCAGAAATTTTAACGTAATGATTAATTCAAAAAATCACTTGATAATTGATCTAAAATAAAATTAATTTTTCAGGTACTTTTGCTATTGTGTGTCTAATGACTGGTAAAGCTGTGACTTCATATTCTTATTCAACAGATAATTTAGGTATCAATAATACTGAGATGATAAATACTACTTCTACGCAGTATTCACCGATGCAAGTAGCTACGGCTGTAACTTTTACAGTAGGAATATTACAAGTAATGTTTTTTACGAGTATATGTAAAATTTTTCTTATTTGTTAATGTCAAATCTATAGAATTAACGCATGAAATAAAAATTAGTTACGAGATTAAATTATTTGTAGTTAATGATGTTTTTTTTACGCTTGGGCATTATCAGCACACTACTCAGTGAAACTTTAGTAAATGGATTCACGACCGGAGCTGCCATTCATGTACTTATGTCCCAAATAAAAGATCTCTTCGGTCTAAAATTACCAAAGCAACAAATAGATCATTTTAAAGTTATTTTTGTAAGTATACTTTTCACTGGACTAAAATATTATATTAGTCATATAATCTCAATTATGTGACAAAACAAATGATTGAATAGCGTATATGTTTCATTTATTTTTCAGACGACAATAGATATATTTTCTGTACTTAATGATCCTAATTTTGCAGCTATGATTGTTTCTGCAGTTTCAATAGCAATTATGATAATCAACGATGAATTTTTTAAGGTATTATAGGATTTTTATAAAATCTGTTTATAACGTATCACAAATACTTGAGATTGATTTAATATAATTGGACTAATGTTTTTAGCCATGGTTGAAAAAAAAATGTAATATGCCCATACCAATTGAATTAATTGCTGTTGTTGCTGGAACTTTGATCTCAAATTATTGTGATTTACCTGGTAAATACAAAATTCAAACAGTTGGGGACATTCCAACTGGGTACGTAACTTTCGATTATAATAATATGTAAACTTAATTACGAATACAGATACTTTACTACACGTTTAATGATTTAACAGACTGCCAAAACCCGAGTTACCTACTTTTCAACTTTTATCAATAGTTGCCGTTGATTGCATTGCTATCACTATGGTGTCTTACACAGTAACACTTTCTATGGCTTTAATATTTGCCCAAAAATTACAATACGATATTGATTCTAATCAAGAACTTTTTGCGATGGTAATTCAATGTATAATTGTAAATCTTTCAGTGAATCAAGGATAAGCATAAATCAATTTATTAATTAAAGTATAATCTAATAAAAGAAACTAACTAATCCATGTAATTACATATATTTTCAGGGCATGAGTAATGTATTTGGGTCATTCTTTTTCTGTATGCCCGTTTCTGCATCATTAAGTCGGTCTTTAATTCAACAAACAGTTGGTGGAAAAACTCAGATAGCTAGTATTGTTTCCTGCTCCATTTTATTAATTATTCTTCTATGGATCGGACCATTTTTTGAACCTTTGCCAAGATGTGTATTAGCATCAATAATCATTGTAAGAAGATCGAATTAGATTAACAATATTAAACCAGAAAAATATTTTAGAAAAACAAAACAATATTTGGTAAATATTATATCAAATAATTATAACACAATTACTTTTTAGGTTGCTTTGAAAGGCATGCTATTACAAGCAAAACAACTACGACGTTTTTGGAAGGTCAGCAAGTTAGATGGGATAACTTGGATTGTCACTTTTTTAGTTGTTGTTTTAGTGGGAATCGATATTGGACTTTTGTTTGGTTTACTTACATCTCTGGCAAGCATATTATTTCTCAGTATAAAATCTTACTCTTGTTTGCTCGGACATGTGCCAAATACTGATTTATACTTAGACATAAGTAGATACAAAGGAGTAAGTAAAAAAAATTAATTCTTGATTTTTGAATCGTAAGAAATAATTTACATTAATTCATAACTTATGTATATTTTTTAGACAGTTGAATTAAAGGGTATAAAAATATTTCATTATTGTGGAGGATTGAATTTTGCCAATAGAAATAATTTCAAGTTACGACTATTTGAGTTAGTTAATGTAAATCCACAAAAAGTATTAAAAAAAAGGATGAAGAAACTTAAAAGTATAACTGACGACTGTAACTATGATGATGATCTAGAGCAAAAATTACGATGCATTGTTATGGATTTAAGTGCATTGAGTTATATTGATCCCAGTGGAATTACAATTTTACATGCAATCTCAGATGAATTCGCTTCAATTAATATTCCTATTTACTTAGCCGGATGTTCAGCACCAGTTTTTGAAAGTATTCTTAAATGTGATAAATATGCTGCTGGAAAACATCAATTCATCATTTTTGTTACAATTCATGACGCAGTAACTTACGCAAAAGAAATATTTGCTATTAGTTGATGATGATGAAATTAATAATCAACGATTATAAAAATAAGTTCATGACGATGAGAAATCTTTACGTAATGAAATTAACTAATAAATTATTATAAACTTAAATGTTTGACATTATTTATGAAATTATTTTGTATTGAAATATTAAAAATTATATTTTCAACCATGCAATTTTATGACTGTAAAAATATTCAGTATACTTTATCTCTATTATTGTAGTTTATACTTTGATATTTATAAAAATTAACATCTTACCAAATTAATTATCTACTTATATTTTAACTTATTTATTATATTTTCTCATGTCTTACGAATTGTTATAAATTACTTTAAAATCAATGTCTTGTTGCTTCAGTTTATTAAATACTGCAAAAGTTATTAAGAAAATTTGAAAATACGCGGGTAATGCAGACCAATAAACTGGGTAAATGACGTCGACCATATCAATATGGCCGCCACGTGGAATAGGATTAGGATCACAGTCTTGACTGATTTGTTATATGGCAATCATCCAGTTACTCTGAGTAGTTTGAAAAAACTAAAATTTCTTCTAATGAAGGAAAAAAATTGATATGTGTGATTTTTTATCGTGTACTGTTCTATAATTTTGTCATTAAATCATTACTACATTGAATCCATTGATATATGAACATTTTGAAATTGAAAAGTTTTAATCATGGATGTTTGAAATCATTGCATAGTAACTAACGGTGTAAATGTAGAAGTTTTATAATTCATATTAATATTCTCTAGTCAAGTAAGTATATTACAAAATATTTATTTTGTATTAATTAGTATTGTGTTTATAAATTATTAAAAAGGTATTTACACTCATGCATATTGATATTTCAATATTTTTCTTGGCACGTAAATAGTTCGGTTGTTATTTCTGTTATACAGTAAACTCCAACTTACGTAAATTGTGTTTTACGTGTCTAAAGTAGAAAAAAATTTTGTGTCGGATAGAATAACGGTATTTTGAAATGATTAATATTAGTAGTCGTTGATAAAAGACGAGTTCTTAGATGTTTCTAGAGCCAATTACGAATGGAATTCAATGGAATTGATTGATCATTACATTCTAGTCGGCAACTACAATAATATAAATAAACACATTTTTTCTATAATAATTAATTCATTTGGTTATCATGTTTATAAAAATCATAATTCAAACATATATAAAATAAAGTTAAACTTATTATGAAAATACGGTAATGATAATGTCAAATGTCAAATGTTTTGATTATCGTCATTAATTATCGTAAGTTTGAGATAATAGTTATTGGTGTCGCAAAGCTAATCGCTAGCAATTTTTATACATTAACCTTTGATAGATACTGGTACTAAAAACCACATCATATATTAATATGTAAAATTGTCTACAAGACTTTTCTTATAATTCAATATAGCTCTAAAGAAATTGATTAAGTTTTTACAGCTTTCTTTGTAACATTGAATTATTGAAAAACTTTACCCTTCAGCAATATTAAAAAAACAATATTACTTCAGAAAAACATTCAAAAATGGTTAAATATTTTATTTTCATCAAATTCAACACACGTTGAGGTCAAAATTATTCTAACCACCATTTATTATAGTATATGACATTAAAGTAATTAAAACTATAATTTTCTTCTTTATCTAGTAGATTGTTACAAGTTAATAATTATGATAATTGTGAATAATTTGGATTTAATAGTTTTATAGTCAATAAACAATAGATGAATTATCTAAATTAACTGCTAATAATTCTTTCTTTATTTTTCAATTAGTTTGTATTTTTTTTTTTCTTTATAGGCAAATAATCGAAAACAATAACCATGATTACTGAAGACAACGAGATCGTAGAAGATAAGGAGAGCAATGCTTCTACTCCAAAAACTCCAATGGAAGATGTATCGGGTCTTCGACATCGTGTCCCCTGGAGGGATCGAGATTCATTAGGCAGTGATATACCCGGCCTACATGAAGTTAAAGAATTATTAGAAGATGATGATGCCAGTTGCCTAGCAGAAGAAGAAGATGGAGCTGGATGTCCATTACCTTCCACTCCAGAAGATGATCATCTTCTTGACTGTGAAGTTAGTTTTATATGTATTATAGGCATAAAAAAGTTTAAAAAATATATGAACATGCTGTTTAACTGATTACAATGATGATTTCAGATGACTGAAGTTCTAAAAGCTGGAGTTTTAAGTGATGAAATTGATTTAGGTGCCTTGGCTCATAATGCTGCGGAGCAAGCTGAAGAATTTGTACGCAAGGTATGAGTAAATTTTTTTTCATTAAAAGATTTTTATTTTATAATATCTATGTCAACTATGAGCTATCATCTTATATGTTAGACTTTAATCAATCAAAGTTTTAAAACTCTGAAACCGCAGATAAAAAACTATATGAACATATATTGCTTTCAGAGATAAAAAGTAAGTAGTTGATGAAAAAAAATAATAAAAAAATTTAATTTAATGTTTTTTTTTTTATTACAATTAATTATTTTTTAACTATCCCGATATTTGATCACAAATAATGCATACTAGTGTCAAATATATTATTTACAAAAAATATTGAAATTATGTATTTATTCGAAGCAAAAAAAATATTTATTTTACTAATTATTCAATGATCACTAACTGATGAAATTAATAGATTACTAGATTAAATGTGGTTGTCAAATTATTTTATTTGTTTACTGAACTCACTAAATATTGTCCATGATATCTAATGAATTGAAAGTATTGGTTACAGGTGTGGGAAGCATCGTGGAATCAATGTCATTTTCGTAATTTACCAAGATGGCTTCAAGACAATGATTTTCTTCATGCAGGACATCGACCGCCTTTGCCGTCCTTTTATGCCTGTTTCAAGAGTATTTTCCGCATCCATACCGAGACTGGAAATATTTGGACTCATTTATTAGGTAAATAATTTTTTAACTCAGCTCTGAATAGCATATCCTTTAATAATTAATTATTCGATATGTATATGGATATTTACAATTTAATCTAATTAAAGATCATTCAATAATAAATGTTATTATAAACAGGATGCGTAGCGTTTATTGGAATAGCAATATTTTTCTTAACACGACCACCAATGGAAATACATCTAGAAGAAAAGATTGTTTTTGGAACATTTTTTGCTGGAGCTATTATATGTTTGGGCATGTCTTTTGCTTTTCATACAGTACACTGCCATAGCGAATGTGTTGGCAAACTGTTTTCAAAGCTCGACTATTGTGGTATAGCCATGCTCATCATGGGCAGCTTTGTACCCTGGTTGTATTATGGATTTTACTGCGATTATCAGCCAAAACTAATTTATCTATCAGTCGTCGTTGTATTGGGTATTACTAGTATCGTTGTATCTTTGTGGGAAAGGTTCGGCGAGCCAAGCTATAGGCCACTCCGAGCTGGTGTCTTCATGGGTTTCGGTCTTAGCGGAGTAAGTTTTTCATTTATAATTATTCTTATAGAGTATATAGTAAAACTTGAGGTAAGATAATTGATTAAAGAAAAATTAATAAATTTACAATATTTTCTAAAATTTAAGTATTCACAAATTATAACTTACCTTGCTCCAAGTTTTTCTAACCGAACTGATAATAACTTGACTCTTCATGACATTAATTAAATTTTTCAGGTCATACCCGCTGTCCATTACGCTATTGCTGAAGGCTGGTTTAAAGCAATAAGCCAAGCTTCGCTTGGTTGGTTAATCTTAATGGGTTGTTTGTACATATTAGGTGCTTTGTTTTATGCATTAAGAGTTCCTGAACGATTTTTCCCTGGGAAATTTGATATTTGGGTAATTTATATTTAAATCAAAAGCATCTTTGACATCTTTTTGTTTAAAATATGGGTATATTTTAATATTTTTAATTATAGTTTCAGAGTCATCAAATTTTTCACGTGTTAGTAATAGCAGCTGCATTCGTACATTATCATGGAATAACGGAAATGGCCATGCACAGGATGACTGTCGGGGATTGTTCAAATCCAGCGCAAGCCATAGCTTTTTAAATACTAAAACAATGAGCGTAAGTTGGAGAAGTGGCTGTAGTTGAAAGGGAAACAAAAAGTGTAAATCGAATTATTGAATTGTTGAACTCCTTATATATGTATTAAATTTGAAAATTGCAAAAGAATCTAAAGATTTGCATACAAATCTTTCAAATACTGTTTATGTGAATTTTCAGTGTAAATCATAAAATCTTATATCTCATTCACGTAAAAAGAAATCACCATTATATAGGCAAAGATATATCAACCAATTGTAATACTAATTTTATATATAAACTATTCTAGTTTCAAACAATTGGTTTGTTATCTAAATTACACATTTACAAAAATTTTGAAATTGTGAAAACTCACAAATTTACCATAAACAATAAACTTTTTTAACATACCATAAGATTGGTATAGTTTTCAATGTATAATCTCTGCAAGAATAATAATTTGGCAAGTTTTATAGATCTTTCTTGCTTTTTGGAACGTCATTGATGAAAAAGACTGGCTACATAGACAAAAATAAGATCTTTATCATATACGCTTTATACAACTAGACAATGTTTTGAACATTCTATCATATGAAAGTATAACATTTTGACAGATAAGTGAATTTATGTAACAAGTGATGATTCATTAGTTGTATATTGCTAAATTATCCATAATTAATTTTGTTTAGTCTAAATTATTTTGTTGCTGAAGGTCTACTTATGAATTACGTATATAATTATATTATCAAATTATTTTCAAAGTTATATCTTATTAGTTAAATTTATATTTAGCTTAAATTATTAGGGATATGGGGATTAAATAACTACAAGTATTTATGATGAATTGAAAATGCTTTTTGTCATTTATTCATAAATGATAGAGTGTTATATGAATTATGGCTCCTTCACCATTGAAAAGTATATTTCAATCGAACGTAATTAATTAAGTTTATCTACTTTAAAGTCTACCGTTTCCGTTTAAATAAGCTATGGAATTAAAATAAATTTATGTTGTCATGTAATCATTATTTAGACTGACAAATAAAAAATCATGACCTGATACAAATATAATAACTGATAAGCATCGAAATATTAAATGTTTTTTAGAAGTTTATAATCTTCCGAGGAGCTATTTTTCATTATCAACAATTCTTTTAAAATTTAACAATGAGATACAATATTTTAGGCATTGATTTTCTTTCACTATGTAATTAAGGGTATGTAGATGAAGTTGTTGAAATTTTTACACAAATATATAACAAATGAATAAAACTTATTAATAAAAAATAATAATGTAAATATAAAATTAACTCTTTTTATTACGTACTATGTCATTAAAACTTCCTGTATTTTGAGTTAATCAATATTTGCCATAATTTATTAGTAACTAAATTTCTACAGGGGGATTAAAAATTTCTGACTTAACATTCATCGAGTGTTGGATGAAGCTTTAAAATGATTCATTATTAATAAATAATCTAGTTTTAATGTACAATAATATTAGCTCAGCAAAGTTAAACTGATGTTAATTATTTCATTATTAATAAATGTTCAAATTTTTTTTGTAAATATACATAAATTTGCAAATTTAAGTCTTTTAATAACAAGCCTTATCAATTTCATCCAATAGATTTGAACTTTAATAAAGAATTTGAGATATTGGATTAGAACTGATAGAGGTAATTCAGGATTTTTCAAATTTTTATAATTTGAGAGTAAATGAATAAACAGATATCATGTGAAAATAAATTATACAATTTTATTGAATTATTTCTAAAATATTCGATTTTTTGGACAAAATAAACTTAGATGAATAAACTCTCAACTCATATTGATTAAATTAATTTAGTTGAGTATAATAATAAAAGTCATTTTATACTTTAACAATAGCTTTACCTGTGTTTCCACCTTCAAGCATATCAACAAATGCATTGAACATATTTTCAAATCCTTTTGTTATAGTTTCACGGTACTTAAGCTTGCCTTTACGAATCCATTCAAGATTCTGTTGAATCCCTTCCATCCATTGATTCGCCCAACGCGTTACTAGCAATCCTTCCACCTTCAATTCCTTTAGTACAATAGCTGGTTGCAGAAGTGGAGACTTGGGTAAATCATTAAAGTCGTTATTATAAGCTGAAATTGAACCACACACTGCTACGCGTCCTAATGGATTCATTTGATACATAACAGTACTGGATATTTCACCACCAACCTATTTTAAATTTATGAAAATAAATCAGTAAACTGACAAATTGAAATTTATTATCATACAAATGACTTGAAAGGTTTAAAAATACGTACATTATCAAAATAATAATCGATTCCATCAGGAGCTGCTTTTTCAAGTTTTTCCTTAATATTTTGAGTTTTATAATTGATTGCATGATTAAATCCAAGCTCTTCTTTAATCCATTGACATTTAGCATCACTTCCAGCAATTCCAATGACTTTCAAATCTAAAGCTTTACCGATTTGACCTACATGTGATCCCACAGCACCTGCAGCTCCAGAAACAACTAGAGTCTTTCCAGCTTCAGGATTCAGAATTTTTGTAACTCCAAAGTAAGCAGTATTTCTGCGAAAGATATAATCTTATAATTTAATATTAATGGAATATATTTATGTTGTTTTAATGAATACCCAGGCATTCCAAGAACTCCAAGACCAAGAGATACTGGAAGATCACCAAAATCAGGTACAATATAAGACGGTATATTTCCTAAAGACCTATCAATAGGAGCATCGGGATTGATAATAGTATGTGTTCGCCAACCTAAATGATCATGAATTCTTTTTCCAACAGGAAATTTTGGATTTTTAGATTCTATTATTTTTGCTATTTGAAATCCTATTATTGTGGAATTGAGTGGATATTCCCCCATGTACACTCTTACATAAGGATCAACAGATAGATATTCAGCTTCCACCAAATATTCTGCCAATAAAACAAAATAATGAAAAAATGGTGACATTTCAGCCATAACGATTTTATTTGTTTGAATGTATTTCATTTGAAATGGAATCATTTACGTTATTACCTCCATTTTTAATTGGCGGCAATTCTTCTTCAATCAGTTTTATATCTGATGATTTAGGTTTACCTTTAAAATGTTTCACAAGAACGTATTTTTTAGCGATCACCATGATGAAGGTATGATATAGTAAAATGTACAGTGCTAAACTACGTCGTGTTTATCTCAATAGCAAGCTTCTGAGTAAGATACATCCATACACTGTGTGAGCTATGCTGAGTTGATATCCGTTACACTATACTAGAAGAGCAGGGAGCCTCATGAATATTATATTTCACTCAATTTACTATGTCACAAATATGACAATTGGGCTTACATCTTTATACTTCAAACTCAAATGGTTCAGCCATAATAGCATGAAATTATCTGATTGAAATTAAATAAAGCAATTTAAAAATTGTTGACTTCTTTTAAACTTTCGAAAATAATTTATTTAGAGAAAAATCAGATGATATGAAAGCACATTTATTATTTATAAGTGCATTTGATTATTACTCATTCTTGGGTGACAAATGATTTTTTCTCTATATTTAAGCTATCTTATTTGTAAGATCATTTTCAAAATCTATTTACTAATATTTGAATCTAATTATTAATTAATAAAATAAGAAATATTTCTGATCGATTATATAATTGTGTTTTATTTTATCAATATAATTAGTATGGATTTATTAATAAATAATTGGAGGTTTGCTCGGAAGCAGTAATGAGAATCTAAAAATAGACGCTACTTTTCGGTGCAATGATGACTTAAGATCGCTTTGGTTTTATTAGCTCTATAAATTTTTAAACAATAAATAGTTTTTTTTAATGAAATAGTATCAATTTGATTGTCAGAATTTTATTTAGTAAATTAATTTCTTTAAGAGTAAATGTCCAAAAGTATAGGAAAATAATTTCTAGGAAGAAGATGAAACATGTAAGTTAAATAAACATTACATACATTTATTTAATAGCGTTCATATTTCAAGGATTTGTTACATTATATAAACATAGACATTTTGTTTTTGACACTAGTTTCTAATCAAATTCTTATGCAATAGAGCTATTTAGGGTATTTTCTATGCATGCAGTATACTATTGTTATTTGGTAAAACGTGCGTCGTGTTGAATACAATTGATTTTTTCGGCTTCTAGAGACTGTTTTGTTTTTATTTTTCATCAATCTATAAAGTTTGTCGCATTCAGTTTTGTATGCAGTTTATTCGTACAGTATTGTGAATTCTTGGTTTTGATCAACATTTATTGTTTGTAACTTTTTTTGACAATATTCAAAAATTTACTTTCATTTTTTATTTAACGAATTCGTGATATTGTTTTCAACACTGATTAGAAATGAGTCTATTGCAAATGTCTTTGCAATGTGATTTATATATACCAAAAGTCTTATTAATTAAAAATTACTATCTTTTGCGAGTCGTTTAGCAATTCGATTGCGAATAAATATTTATTTTAATACGTAGGAGTCGAGAGGAAGCACAATCCTTTATGCTGAATGTTTTTCCAGCATTGTCTAGACACCTACTTGCGGTTCTTCTTATTATTGTCCATAAAGCCGTATCTATCATTTTAATAATTATTTGAATGTTATTCATAGATACGCAATTTGTCGCTTATTTATCGTTGGTCAATATTCGGTTAAAAAAAAATAATTCATTTCTTTACAGATAACTAAAATAATAATACCATGAAATTATAATATTATATTTGAAGTATTCGTGATTATGATACATCTATTTAAATATTACAAATTAATTATCCAGAAAAAGCTATTTTCGAAACTTTGAAATTTTTTTATATCTTTTTTTTTTTAACATATTTTTTTAAAAAAATATTTTCAGTCGATGCTAACAATATAAAATTATTGTGAACATTATAAAAATGGTTGCAAAATTAAATAAATTATAGCTACTTATATATTGATGGTGAAGAATGCAATTTGTAAATTAGACATTCGAAAATATATGCACAGAAATTTTTTTTGCACATTTTTGAATTTTTTTTTCTTTTAAATTAATCAACATAAATTCGTTGATGCAAAAAAATATAAAAAAATTTTTTGTTTAATAAATTCTTTAGGAATTTTAAAAATTTGTTATGACTATATTATCTCTTCATCGCTTCTTCATATAGATCAAACCTTGGTGTATCTTTAATTCCAAGGCAGGAGAGCGAGTATCAAATCAATTCGTTTGATTATTAGAATTTATAACAATTCCTCTTCTTAAGAACTGCGTTAAGACTATTAAATAATGTCTTTGTTATTTTTATAGTTTTCTGTGATAATTTAATTAACGTTAAATATTAGTAGTAAATATATATTTATATTTATATATTATATTATAGCCGATGATTTGTAGTCGAGATGTTGCAAGCACATACATCTTTTGCTAAATTAAACAGTCACCAGTTTATCGTACATGCTCGCAAATAATTATAATACTAAAAAATTATCTTATACAAATATTTAATATGCGTAATTAATTGATATCGATAAATTATATCTATGCATTATTTTATAATCCTTAATAATATATATCACACTGAGCCGGCTGTGTGTGTCCATCAATTTTAGTCTGCACTTAGTCACTCACTGTATCGCATTCATTCATGTAGGCACATATGAAGTATGTATGCCGAAGTTGAATGAGCTGTATGCATGATAATGGGGTTTGATTCTTAATTTATCAAAATTCTATGACAATGTGATTATTGGTGGCGATGTTATCCAATTCAGTAGCATTTACGAGTACATGTACATTTACGGACCAGATCTACTTCTTTAGTATATCGTTTACCATCTGTACAGATTAGACGGACCTGCAAATAATTTTTTTTTATTAATACAAATTATTTTCTTTCATATGATTATCAATTAAATATGCATATATTTACCCTACGACGTTTAGTTTTTCGCGGTAGGCAACATGAGTTACCACAACTGCCCCAGCACTTGGCCAGTTTTACTGGTCGTCTGCTACGACATCCGTTTTCACTATAGTATTCTCGAGTATGTTCTTTCCGACATGTTGGCGCTATTACAAGAAAAAAAGGTTAATCAGATATTTAAAAAAAGAACTTATCTAAAAGTAGTTGAAAATTTCTATTATAGATAATACCTTTTTCGCAGTATCGTCCTTGCCAACCGGTTTGACATCGACAAGTATATCCATTTCCAAATGGAGATGGCACACATTGTGAACCTTTACGGCATTCGTGACCGGTACAAGGATCTATAATACTTGCGCCTGGTACTGATACAATAATATCTGCAATTATTGAAGTATAATAAACCTTTTAAGTAGTGGAAGAATAGAGAAATATTGAAATTTACTTACCGGAATGATCTTCCGAAACATGTTCATGTTGCATAGAGTCTTCGAGATTACCGCTGTTTGATTCAACTTCTTCAGCAACATCTTTACCAGCTTCATCAGCCTCCTCTTCTCCAGAGGAACATCCAGGAGTCACGCGATGCATTTTTGCAGCGTTGCTAAAGTCTACTGACTTGTGGTTGATCCACATTCCCGATATGCATCCTAGAAATATTACCATAAATATAAATTTACTACAAACTTGATCGGATATAAAGAACAGATTGTTCAAAAGATGTTTTACCTTGGAAACTAGTTATGTTTTGCAAATGAAATTGAGAGAAGGCTGCGCTAGCAACTTCTGACGGAACACCACCGACATACATTGGAGTATTGAGCTTAAGATAATCCCTCGTTCCTTCATTGATAATACTCCTTGCAAGACCTCTATCAACTCGTAGCGTGAAATTCTTTTTTATTGCGATTAGTTCAGCCATGTGAGGCTTTCCGTCTGAGACCATTTCGTAACTGTACATCGTAGAGGTGGGATAATTTCCGACATCATAAGATACTCGGACACGGCCATTAAATAGTTCAACCGCGATGTGCTCGCCACTTTGGTCCATACCATCATAGAGTAAGACCCCATTCTCTTGAGTGGTAGTAAAAACGATGGTCACATTTGCCTCAGGCTTCGTGCGAAGCGGCTCTAGCTCGACCAGCGAGCTGTTGTCTATGAAGCTCAGGCTCGTCAGGTACTCACATCGTTTTCCTAAAGCGGTTTTTTATTATGAACATTGTGGATAATTGAAAAGGTTTCATCATCTAATGTTTATGAGAGACTTACCAGTGTAACCAGGATGACACTGGCAAAGATAACCCGCAGCGGAATCAGAGGAAGGTTGGAAGCAGGTGCCATGCTGACAATCATGATGAGCACAAGGACTTGTTTTAGGATAAAGTAAAGCTGTAGAAGGCGCTGCTTCACAGAATCTTCCTGTATAATCCGGCGGGCATTTACATTCGTAATTATTTATGCCATCGATGCATGTAGCACCGTTCTACAACAAATCAATTAATTAATAAAAAAAAGTGTAAAGATGTGATTTGAATTAAATACAAATAGATTGTGCTAATTTACCTGGCAGAGATGGTCAGTACAATCATCCAAATTTGTGGAACAGTTAAGGCCACTGAAACCGATTGGGCACTCGCAACTGTAGTGGGTCCTGTGGTCAACACAGCGGCCTCCGTTCTCACATGGGTCGTGTCCTTTTGTGCAAAATGGGATTTTCGTTTGACAGTATTCTCCCATGAATCCCGGTGTGCAGTCGCATCTGTAGGCCTGAACGAGGTCCACGCAGGTCGAATTGTTGGCGCACTTGTTATTGGTGCAATCGTCGACGTTATTCTCACATCGGAGACCCTCGTAACCGGGGGCGCAGTCGCAACTGATACACATTGACTTAACGTCAATTGAGATATAAAGCTCGATCATTGGATCATGATCGATCCACCAACGTACTACTGAGTTAGCTTATTTTCACTTACTCAGTGCAAGTATTTTTATATGTCAATAAATCAAAGTGAAAATTGTTTTATTGAAAATTTTATGCATATATAATGGTATTTATGTCTTGATATCAATGAGTTTTTATATAATGAAAATTGTTGTCATTTTCCAATAAACAATTTTTACTAATCTTTTATTGTTATTGATCTAATTTTACAACAATCAACTGATTATCACACGTATTTTTTTGATTGTATATATTTTTTGACGTGGTAAATTTTGATAATAAATTTCATGCTATTCTACAAAGTTGGGGAGCCGAGCTCGATCCAACTCGATCTACCAAATAATTATTGCATAAATTAGTCAATAATTGACAATAATATCTACCTGAATCTTCCTTCCTCCAGTACTTTACAAGTTCCGGTGTTCCGGCAAGGATTTCCATAGCACGCGTCAATTTTATGTTGACACTGGTCCCCGTGATATCCTGGCGTGCACTTGCAATTGAATTTCCTGTCTGGTAATGCCTCGCAAAATCCTCCGTTTTGACATGGGAAGGTATAACACACGTCGCATTTGGCCAAGACTTCGGCAGGTTGTTGTTTGGCTGCACGGAAGAAATGTCTACGATTAATGAGCAATTTTAGTACCGTTCTGAGAGCTCGAAACCAAAAAAATCAAACTAAATAGACTGAGTTCGCTAAAGATCAACATAAAATTCTTCGCGATTCTTTAATTGCTCTACGGTTATTTCAATATTTAAGAGATGTTTAATTAATACTTACTTTTGCATTGAAAAGCACTGGCTGGTGCCGTGAGCAATAGTTTCTCTTTCATGGCTGGTGGTTCCATACATCTTGCAATCCCTGGTTCAACATCCAAGTCTTTCTTTACCCACTCTGCTAGCCAACGCATATGACAGTCACAGTATAATGGATTAGATCCTAGTGCTCTATAATTGTAATAATAAAATAATATTTTTAATTCATTTGTCAGAATTCGATGTAGAATAGAAGTTTTGCATGCAAGACCAAAAATTAGATAAATACAAGACTTTGAATGTTGAATTTAATGGTTTGTTTTGGAATATATTTATAGTTTTAACAAGTTAGAGCGAATTCACTTCATTAAAAATTAATTAACAATTACAAACTTTGTTAACGGCTAAATGGTCTTTCAATGTAAATTTCTTAAAAGTTTCTTAGTCACTAAGGATGCTAAAAAAGTTACAATTTGTTTCGTGATGCATCTCTGTTTCAAGATAGTTATGGTAAATAGATAATGTAAGATAATAGTTTTAAGACTTACACATGAGTTATAGATTTCAAATCATCGAATGTTCCTTCAGGAATACTTGAAATCTCATTGCCATGTAAAGACATTATTCGGAGTGATTTTAGTCCAGCTAGTGCATTTTTTTGAACACATTGGAGTTTATTGTAGCTTATAATTCTAAATTGAAAAAATAAAAAAGTTAAAATATTTTTTAGTAATCAAAATGTTAGTAAATAAAGTACTTACAGATGAGAGAGTTTTGTCAAGTTTCTAAACGTATCGTTGGCGAGCATTCCAATTTGATTATTGCTTAAATCTCTGTATAAGAATAATAAAAAAGAAATAAAAATATGAGATAACTGTCGATAGACTCTAAAGTAATGTCTACGAGTTGTGACAACTGATACTCACAATCTTGTCAACATTCTTAAATGACTGAGTCTCTCGGGTTGAATCGTTTTTATATTATTTACGTCAAGATACAGTTCAGTAGTCTCTGGAGGGATGCCACGAGGTATTTCCGACAGCTGAGCTCTGGAACAGCTTACAAGTGATCCTGCACAGTGACATCCTGGTGGGCAATAATCGTCACCGAGACAACCGACACTATCATCTGATGAATGAAAAAAAAGGATCGTGTAGTGAGGATCAAGTAGTATCTAGATTTCACTGTAATCATAATACGTATAATAATATTCTTACTGGTGCACTTGAATTCATGACGTGGAATGTCTTTTACGTGGGCGTCCTTCAATCTTGGTGGATCGTGACAACGACCAATGATCCCCGGTATGTCGCGAGTTCTCAACCACTCGGCAAACCATGCAAGATGACAATTGCATGATAAAGGATTACCTTGCATGTTGCTATAAAATAAAGATTATTGCATTAGAAACATGCTAGATATGAAACAAGTATAGTTATAACGGGATTTAATTTAACTTACATGTTGTGAATATGAGTCAGCCCTTCGAATGATTTAGGCATCACACAGGTAATTGCATTTCCACTCAAGTTTCTGGAAAGTATTAAAAAGCAAATGATGATGATAATAATAATAATAATTATACTTAGGGTAGATATTTTTTCGTTAGTACAGCAACTATTAAAGAGTTGGCTACTTACAAAGTTTTCAAGTTAACGAGTCCAGTGAACATTTTATCGTGAACTTCCCGCAGTTTATTGTCAGACAAGAGGAGTTCGGTTAGTTGATGAGCTCCTTTAAAAGCAGATGCTTCGATGCGTGTAATTTTATTTCTTCTGAGATCTAAATGTTGCAACTCCGGAAGTTTCTCGAACAAATTATCAGCCTTAATTTTTTCTATGTCGTTGTTCCCCAACAATCTAAATACATAGTAGATATTATTAGTAGTCATCATTATGATCATTATCATCAAAAGTAGTTTATCATTCATAGAAATGTGATTGAACTAGAAGAAAAAAAAATAATTACAGTGTTAAGGTGTAGATAGGAAGATCTCGAGGGATTGATGTGAGTTTTTTATCAGCACAATTTACTGTAGCTCCGTTGCACGTACATAGTGATGGACAAGCTCCTGGTAAAATACATTCGCCTGCTCTTTTAGTGAGTAACTTTTGGTCACCTGTAAGCATAAGTATCTCTTGGGTACAGACTAGTATAAATAAATATGCCTGTTCTACTACTTTTTCAAACTCTCATTTTTTCAAGATTAAAAAAAAAAGTAACAAAAAACAAGTTTATTTATTCAAATAAGATCAGTGGAATGAGAATGAAATGATTAACGGTAACAAATAGTGATAAAAATTAGATAAAAAATGTTAATAAATCACTACAGTAAATTTATCACGCGTTAATTAATGATTAATTAAAATGAGTGTATTCATGCGTTTTCACCTTGGTCAGTAATCTCGGAAATTCCATTAGCGTTAGATGATTGAGTTATATATGATTATGAATATTATGATACCAAGCATACGTACCGTCATGAATACAGACCAGCTTGCGTTAAATCCGTGTAAGTAAAATAAAAAATGTGAAAAGCATTCATTTAAGCATTCACGTGCACAACATCAAAAGAGTTAAAATAAGAGATAAACAATTCAGATGAAAGAGAACGTAGGTCGTGAAACTGCGTTCTGTCTCGTTTTTTCTTTCGCTCTCACTTCCTTTCAATGTGGCGATGATGATGAGATGAAAGCGCCAAAGGATGATGGAAAAGGATAGATAAGGTTACCGACCTGAACCATCCTGTCGAAGTAAGAAGAGATACCGGAAGTCGAATCATGCTTACCCTTACATTTGAACTTTTCGTCCCGTAGCGAGTCAATCTTCCGCTTGCCCAATCGCTTCGGAGTCTCACATTTTGCTCCAGATGTTTCAATTGGATTCTTCTGGAGATACAGGTTTAGCCAACGCAAGTTGCAGTCACAAATGAATGGATTTTTAGCTAAATGCCTATATTTCAATTCAAAAATTTTTATATAAATATTAATGTTTTAAAACACTGCTTCTTTATATTTAATATTCTTTACAAAAAAAATGATACAAACAATGTTTTTATGCTGCGTAAATTAGCAAAAGTGCCGTTGGCAAGTGATTTAATGTTGTTGTCATACAATGAAAGGAGTGTCAGACTGGTCAGATCGCGAAACAGGTCCGTTCGGATGCACGAAATGTCATTAGCGTTTAACAAACTGCAATAATAAAAAAAATTATTAATTAGCAAAGTTGTACAATATTTTTTGAGAAAAATAAACGAAACCGTTATGAAAGCGTTAATTGAAATCGATACTCACAGTAATTGCAAACTTGTTAAACCTTGAAACACACCGCCAGGTAGTTCAGTTATTTTATTTCCATAGAGTACACTAAAGTACAGTAATAATTATCACATTAATTTACGCCATAAACAAATGATTATTAGCAATTGAGTGTAAAATACTTACAGAGATTCAAGAGATTTTAATCCATGAAACGCATCTGCAGCTACTTTTTCAATTTTATTATTACTCAAATCAATTCTGAGCAATTTTCTGTATGGTGAAAAAGCCTTTGGTGGGATTTCAGTAATGCTATTTTGTTCAAGTCGTCTGGAAAATGATTTAGCACATTACGTAAATGTTAGGTGATTCATTAAAGTGTAGATTTCATGTGCAAATTCAATTACAATTCTGTGGTGTCCTCTGGAAGATGAGTTGGGACTTTCTCCAAAGAAGTTTCTCGACAATTGACAATTCCATTGGTACATCTGCACGGATGTGGACATTGAGGTTCAGCAGTGCATTCAGATCCGACATGAAGTTCCACTAGGCCTGGGCACTTGAACTCATGCTCCTGAAAGTGAGATAAAATGATCAGCAATTACTTTGGCATCTGGTTAGATCATCTGGTCAGCAGTGAGTTTGTTCTTTGTATTACTGCAACTCCACTCTAAAAATAACTTTTCAATTCGAGGAAAATAAATTTGTAAGGTTTTTCTTATTTTTTCACTTGTGAAGATATAAACGTTCGTGCAATAATCTCGATGAGTACGAAAATATACGAACGAAATAATTCCCAAGCAGCAACTTTAGAAGCTTATTTCTCTCATTTTCCTGACTCTTAACCCGACACATTTGACCGTGATTTACGACAAACGTATTTAAAGAAATTTCTCCTAGTACCCACCCACAGAATCGACATTTTATGCCAACGAAGTGACTCTCGAGACATGAAGAAAATAGTTAATGTTACACGATGTACAACAAAATGATCTCATCCATATAAAGATATGCTTATTCTCCTCATAACATTGACCATTTTTTCATACTCGCTTTGAAGTGGCGGTAAAACTGGTTATTCACTTTGTTTCATGTATTTTACGTATAACGAAAAATGATGGTTAACTTTTATAAGCATTAAAAGTTAAGTCAAGACTCTTTATGACATACTTGCAAATCGACAAGGTTTTGTCCCTTGAGATGAGCTGGTGAAGCACATTTTGCATGCTGTCCAAGTCGTGGAGTACTCTTTAAATGCCGTGACAGCCAGGCCAAGTGACAGTCGCAGACAAGAAAGTTATCTGTAAGTTTCAGTATACGCAATCGCGGGAGACCAAACAGCATTTCTTTCCCGAGGGTCGTCAATTTATTGTTGTTTAAAGTTCTGCAAAAGTTAAGAAATCAATGAAATACTCAGTGCTGTGCTGTGATGTTAAAATTCATTCTTTACTTTGTCAGATAATTACTCTATTTATATATTTAACAGTTGCATTTATCAATTTAACTTTTGAAAAAAACATTTTTTTTTCGAAAGAAAAAAATATCCAATACTTCTATAATAACTTTTCTAAATTATTTATTTTTTAATATCAACTGTCTATCCATTAGTTGTTCCATCTATCAAGCTTCGATAGATCAATAGATCTTTTGATGATCAATAATCGTCTTTATTATTATCAGAAGCTTTACTATCAGATATAACACAGATAGATAGATTTATTTTGTTTCTCAGTTATTTTGAAATTGTTTGTAAATTAAAAATAGAGTTTCTAATTACTTACAGTGTTTCTAAATCCTTTAATTCTCTTATCGCACTCTCATCAATGCAAGTCAGCACGTTGTTGTCGAGAAGACTGAAATTATAGATACATGTTGAATAAAAAAAGGGATATCGATTGAAAAGAGTTATTGAAAATAATTACTCACATTTGTTTTAATGCAGATATTCCTCGAAGAGTTTTAGGTCCAATCATGGCAATTTGATTATGGCTGAGATCTCTGAAAAATAAAATCAACTGTTGAATATAAAATAATTAAATGAACGATGACTAATGGGTCGTATGTAGTTCGAAAAGTCATTGAACTGCAAAGTTCTTAAGAACACAACTGTGTAAAGTCGTAGCTTCGAGGTCGTGTCATGACGATGGATAAATGAGCGGACCACTTGCACTTGTGGTCACGAGTTTGGCCTACATATTTAATACGTTATATCGCAGTCTAGTGAAACTTGCGAAGTCGCTATCACTTATTTACTAGATAGTAAAGTCTGGAAGCGTAACCCTGGATTGACTATAGCTTTGAAAATCCAGTAAAAAGTGTAGTTTTCCGGAGAAAAGATTGTTACGACTTGATAACAATTCCTTTCCGCTGCCACTTGGAAGTTTACTCTCTGAAAGGAGAAATTGTGAATTACAGCACGTGGAGTTTTGTTCCTTTTCAGCACAAAGCTACAACATTGTATGAAGATGCTTGGAGAATACTTGAGTACGCAAGAATGGAAGGGGTAGAGAAATCAATTGGTTTAGCACACTCCATTCTATAGACAATCAGTAAAAAAACGTTACTCTCCGATTTAAAGAGTTCTAGAAGAATGTGTTTATTTAGTGAAGAATTGTGTCCGACTGTTAGTAGCCAGACATCAGTGATGATAGGTTAGAAGCGGCGAGGTATAGTTCACGATTGACCATCCATTTGCTGAGAACTGGTAATCTGTAATTATGTTTGCCGGGAGCCAGAGAGACGGTTGTAGAAGATCGGCAGCTACAGCGGTACAAGCTTGGAATAAGACAAGCACGGGGAGATTCAAGTCCCAGATCGCTCGACCCAATCCAGAAAGCAATTACCGAATTTCGACGTGGTGCAAACTCATGCGGGACATCTACGATGCCGCAATGGAATTCACAAGAGACCGGATGGACGATTCTCGTGATCTCGTTGTATTAGTTGCCGGATTTCCCTCGATTCCAGATGCGCGAGTCGCGTCCGTGATAAGAGAAGTCTACTCTCTGTTGGTTGAATATTGCTATTCGTCGCATCTAGATTGCATTACAACTATATATTTCTCACTCTTTCTCATTCTTTCTCCCTCACTCCTATTAGCGGTATCTTTCCACTTGAGTATATAATACTACTCAACGACGCTACTTCCAATTAAAGTTGCAGAAACTTTTCTCAATGCTGAGAAGTGGATTTTGCGATTATCTTTAAATCCTCTTGGCACGCATCTAGATATTTGAAACGGCAGGAAATCTCCATACATTACTTTTATTTCTTGCAGAAAAAAAGTAAAACATAAGACAGTTATTTAATGTTGAGAAAAACAGTTAAAGGTTTCTCTAGTGGACAGAACACCTGCATATTCAGGTACTCAAGGAATGTCTTGAACGCAAAAGCGTCCTTACGGTGTATCCTTGATCGTATTACATCCCATTGTAAGTGAGAGTGAGCAATGACGCTCTTATAACCACAGAAAGGTGCACACAATCACGTCTCGGTGGTTGTCTGATCCTGTTATTACTTGCGGCAGTACTCCAACAACTTTTGAGACTCGTTCGTCTGCCCACTTTGCCAGATGATGGATGGATCTCAAGTTTAGCATCTCGATTTTTTCTAACAAACATTGCCTGACTGCTCTTGTGTACTATTCATTGTATGCACTTTTTGATTCCACGACCTCTCAAGTGGCAGCTGTAGAGAGAATCGAGAGACAGACAGAAATGTTGTGGTATGATCGTGATAAAGGATAAATCTACGTTTAACATTTGTATTTGTCATTTTACCCTTGAGAAATTTTCATTTAGTCATTGGAAACTAGTTCCTTTGCTTGAATTTTTAATGAAATATAGTCTCATGGATCATAAGAAAATATAATATGGATAATATTTGCAAGCAGCGGCATTTGTACTTAGAAAAGTTTAAACTGTTGAAAGTACAGAATACATATGTGTCTATTGACTACAGTAGAGAATGTAGGTCATGGTAGGTGAAAAATTTATGCGATACTTGAGAGTTGTATAGTGGAAAATGTCGGCAGGTTTTAGTCTGATTCCCGCTGGGTTCACAATATTCTCGAGAGTAATTTATCCGCGAAAAATATTGTCGGTAAAGTTTAAGAGTATGAATTTATTTCTGTTTATTTTGAAAATTTCTTACGCACTACTGCTAGTAATTATTAAAGTTTACCTTTTTTTTCGATAAGCCAGATTAATTAGTTTCAAACAAATATTGTTCTTGTAAAATTTTTATGAACAAAACAATCACCAACAACACGTTAATTCATGTTTATTTTTTAGTTTTTGTAACAATAGTGAACCACCTGAATATTGATATTTTTTGCTAGAATTTTTTGCCACTTTTTAAATTGTTTTAGAAAACAATAGATGTTTTAATCGGAAAACGTCCAATCTTTCAATACAAATAGAATCTACATGTTAGTGATTTTGATAGATTTTAAAAAATTGATGTATTTTCCCAATATAAAACTACGAGTTCTTTTATAAAATTTTATAATTAATATATGCTTATCTAATTATTCATCAATATATTAAATTTTATAACTATGAAGAAAGTCATAATCAATATTATTATGTAAGACCAGACAGGATAAAATGTTGAACTAACTAATGATAATTATAAAAGTATAGCCTTTGAGTTCCATAGTGATAATTCTAGTATGAGAAATCATAAATAATTCTTATGTGCTAGAATCGATGTCGTACAGACATTGTTACACTTTCTAAAGACTGACTAATATTTCTACTTGCCAGCAAATAGTATTTTCTAGCCATTGTCTACCTACAATAATATTTCATACCACCAATCGATACCACACTCATGTAATCTCATTTTGAAATCATACATAATTAAATTAAAAACTTACAGCCTTCGTAAATTCATCATGTTACTGAAGAGGGTGTCTGGCAGATAGCGAATTTGATTGTTATTTAGGCGTAGCTTTTCTACTGCAACTAGATCTTTAAAAGCTCCCCTTTCAATGGTGTGTATTTGATTGTTTGATAAATGTCTGTAATTTTATATGAATTTATTAGAAAAGCCGTTTTTTTTTCATTAAAGAAGTGAACTTCTGCAATACTTACAGTACATGGAGTGCTGCCATGTCTTCAAAGTCTGTCTTGAAAATTACTGAAATATTATTCCCTTGTAGTTCTCTGAAACAGAAAGAAAGAAAGACGATAAGCATTGCAATATCATGTAACAAAGTATTCAAGTATGCAATGCAATTAATGCAATTATTTTAATGAAACAACTACAACTACGTTTCTAGTAACAGTATCATAAATAATTTTATTAAAAACGTTTATTTATTTTTTGCTTGAATTTAAAATAATTTCGTAGTGTTACCAGGATATTACAATTCATTATAATTATTTGAATTGTTAAATTCAGTCATTTACATATTTTTTTAAACTTGAATATTACTCGTGTTGAACATAAATAAGTAATCGATAGAATACCGTATGAAATAATAATTATCATTTTTTTAGAGCTATTATTAAATTTGTGAGTTAATTATCAGGTTATTTTAATGAATTTTTTTTAGAAAATATAGCTGAATAATTTAATCATTTGATAATTAGATATTAGTTTAATGTATAACTCCATTAAATTTATTTATCCATTTTCAGTTTATATTTGGAATTATTTTATGATGATGTTGTTGAATAATTACAATTTCAATCATTATTTTGAATTTCGAATTAACCTTTTTCTAAATTAAATACAATCAAGTTGAAATATATGACTTTTATACAACAATAATACCTCAATGTTGAGTATAATAAACGAAATATATAACTTGGAATTTCTTTTTTCTGCCAAGTCAGTATGACAATCAATTTAAAATAAGATGTTAGTTGTAAGCTTGTTATTGAAGTCAAAGTGTGAATTTGTTCTGCTCAATGTAAATAAAAAAAACTGTGGAATGAGTGGTGCAAGGGGAAGATAAGATTCGACGATGGAAATGTAAGAAGAAAAAAAAATAGACGATAAGGAAGCAATGATGGCGAAAGTGAGTCGACGTCAGATGCAGCCGTCGTCTTGAGTACTGACGTCCGGTATTCTCGGTGGAAAAGAAGTTATTAAGGTCTTATTAAACGGTTTCTTTTTTTTCTATTTTTCATTTCAACGCGAACGAAAGAAGGGTTAAAATTAGTAGGAAGGAAGTAACAAGATTTGACTTTCCGATGGATTTTTACTGTGAGATAGGAAATTCAGAGGGATACAACAAATTACTGTGGTCTCTTGACACTAGGTTGATGACAAAAACGTGCCTACCCATCATCAAACTTGTCTCTTGATCTTAGTTTTTAATAATGCAAAGCACGTTTTGCTTTTGTTGACGTGCTAAAATAGTAGCTACTTTATTGCTTGATATGTCGATCAAACTTGTTTTCTATTGAGCTTAGTTCAACTTCTCTAAAGCTAGTGAATTTTGTGTAAAAATAAAATTTATTGAGCGATGTAGAATAAAGGAAAACAAAATAAATTTTTTCACAGACATGATAATATTGTATCTAAGCTGAGTATAAAACATACGAAGCTCTTGACTGTTTTCGTATTTCACTCTCAGTGAGGAATAGAGTGGGAAGAACGACGGATTTGTGCTTCTGAGAACAACGTCATGGCTTTTCGCCCCAACGATGCTTCTAGGCTACGCTTAATTAAAATAACTCTACATAAGCTTCTTGGAAGGAGACCATGATAAGTCAAGCGTATCACAGGTGCCGAAATACACCGATAATAATCAGAATTATTTTAATATTCGTTATGATATGTCATCATCACTATAAGCATAACAAACAGCTTCACCAGGTTGTTTTTCATTGTTATTTTTATTGGTACTAGACATAAACTAAAAGCCTTACAGACATTCATGTGGGCGTGAACTTGAAGAGGTGAAAAATTAGATAAAATATTAGAAAATGAATTTTTACAGTTTTGTGAAGATACTGCAGACATTCGATTGATGGAAATATAAGTACGTGTGTTTATGTCTAGCGAATTCAATACGTAGAGCGTCATAATATCATGATATTGTCATGTGCTATTGTCGAAAGGGGAATCAAGATACTATAGCTATAAATGCTTGGTTCGTAACCATACCAAGCGAAGGGAAGGAATGAGGATGGTATCAGCGCCGGCAGATGTAATCAAAGTTTGCAGACTACTCAGGCTTCTCTACCTTGAGGAGGTCACGTCAAAACCAGCCGGATATTCATTCTTACCCTCATCATCGGGTGGTTGACCGTGATCTCAGCTACAACTCTGATATCGCTTTAAAATCAAACAACAAATGAATCTAGTGTTTTGATCCTTTTCAACTGCAAATGTGTATTTATTAAAAACTTATGAAGAATTATTAGAGATTGTAGAGTCTAATCTGCCAAGAAAAATGGGAAACATGGTAGAATAGAAATTTCAATCGTTTCCGGGACATGTACGAAGGAAATAATATGTCTGAAGGTTAAAGATGATTCAGCGTGAATTCTAGCGGTGAAGTGAAAAGTCTTAGCAGTAAATATATTCTATGGTGTAACAACAAACGTATGAGAGCCACGTATACTATGAAAAAGCCCACGTAAACTTCTTAGATAGGGTATACCATCGTACGTGGGTAAATGGCATGCACACACCAAGAGCGTCAAGACGCCAGCTTAACGGTTGTGTCTCTCTTATGTGTGTTCACCCTTCGCAGATGCAATTCAAGTGTACTGCAAGTGTACGGAGCGAAGAGAAAGCATGACACTCACGTTAGCGTATCCACCTACGCCGTTACCAAGTCTCTAATCATAGGCAGAGTGTACGCAAGTAGTTTGGACACTCTATCGTAACGAAGCCAGTTGTCGCTTGCTCGTGCACCAGACAACTAAGGTATACTTTATATGATGTCTTTAAAGTACACCAGGTGAAGGAGGAGGATTACGCCAAGTCACTAGAAAAATACCCGGAATGAACATTGGAAGTGTATTGGTATCAGCTCAACACAAATTTATGCGTCGTTTTAATAAACATGCGATTTAACGGCGCGGAGCCTGGTAACGAAGCGGATCGTAAGGGAGTTGACTCTGTCTATTTTCTTTTTTCTCTACCGGATATTCTTGTGGAAGTCCCAACCGTATTCTCGTCGACCGCTGTACTGGATGGGCTTTCATTAATTACGCGCAAAATAAAGGAAAAGCGGAGGGTGTGTAGCAGCCTCCTCTGGTGCTAAGAGAAAAAAGTTGTAATTGCAGCGCATCCAACTTCATCGTAGCACTACTGTAACATTCACTACAATTTTGTTTCAATGAACAGAAGAAACTAACTAACGTAGACAAAAGATTCTTATTCATTTACGTTTGTAAATAGACGAAAAGTAACTTTTCTTCGTTTGAAAGATTGCGAGAAAAAAGTCGGGAAAATGAATGAAGGATTAAACGTTAATTAACCAACTTCGTGTTTACGGTAATCAGTTAAGACTTTGAAAAGATGTCGTGTCGAGACCGTAATTTAGATTTAAAGCTTGATTTTATACCATAAAAGCGTGTGGTTATTCAAATGGATATTTAAAAAAGCTATAACTTGCTACTAATTTACAAATTATAATCATGAATTTAGTATTGCAAATTTGCCATTCGAATAATTAAATTTTTTTTATATATTCATTTTTTGATGGATCGTAAATTTATGGCAATAATTTGAAAATAATTAATGTTTAAGACCTACTATTTTGATGATTGAAAGGGTAACTGATAATTTTATTCACAATTTAAAAACAAATACTCTTGTTTTTTCATCTACAAAATTCACGTCTTTGTATTTAATGTTCCTTATACTTAATTATTGAATAACTTACAAATTTAGTTTTAGTGTTGCCGATAAGTATTTCTGAATTATTGATTTTAAATTAAGAACAATTACTCTAGTTAAAAGCAAGACTAACCCAGCCTCGACCAAAAGTATACGTCAAATTTGGATTATTGAACAAAGTTATTGGTTACTAAATAACAAGATAATGAAATAATATTGCTAACGTTCATTGTTTCTCTTAAAAATATAACATTGTTAGTTAATCGTTCTAAATCAAATTAAACTGAAAGAATCTTTCTGGAGGCCTGTACTTTATCAGTCGATTCTGGGTCACTAAAGTTATATTTTAAAATACCAAAATACTTTACAACAGTAATCAAATAACTTATTTCAACTAACCCAATGATTGATTAAATCTTTTTCGGGTTCTATACGTCTTAAATTTTTACGATGATACACTTTTGGATTTTATAAAAGAATTTAGCACGTGTGAAAAATAAAATTAAATTATCCGTGATAGATTTCATTACTCTTTACAGACTTGATAAAGCAAAAAAGAAGTAAAAGAGAAAATGTCGAAATGGTTATGGCTGGAAGAGACGCGATGGATTTAAGTGCATTTCGCGAGCTCGTTGTATATATGGCATTATAAAATGCGACAAGGTGATAAAGTCAAATGACTGTGTTGATTCGTTACTCGAATAAATAGATAAGAATGCAAAGTAATAAATGTGAGATGAAAATAATGTTATAAAACACTAATCACTGAGAGAACAGGTGTTTAAGATTCAATTAGTTACTTAATTTTATGAACAAATAACATTTTAACTGAAATGAAAGCAAATGTTGATTTTGAGTTAATTTAAGGAATAAACAGATATTATTATTGATTATGTTAGAGAGTAAAAAATAATTTAAGATGGTATTAAGTTGAATGATGTTGAAAGAATGTTGTTCGTTATGGGATAAAAAAAGCATAACACAAGAGAAATTGTTTCTCGTGGAAGTAAAAATAAATTTATGCGAGTATAATTGCGCAATTGTCGCACTGGGTTCTTTCTTATCTGGCACAAATTCCCAACACTCGGACAAGTGCAAAAGAGATGAAGAGAAAATGAGAAAACACAGGAAGAAAGGTAATCGTGCAGGTCTTTCAAGTACTCAAGTCTCAACTGTAAATGCACTCTTTTCTCTTTCTGCTTTACTTCTTCACTAGTATAGATACTGGTGGTACTCGCAACACCTCTTGCCTTGACTTTAACTCGTATCGTAAACCATGCTGGCGGTTTTTATACGGCTATTATCCAAAGCACAGTCGCGGGACTTGGCCTCCGTAGCTTTATCATCAGGGAACAAACAC